TATCAGAGAGAGAGACCTGAGTAGCCTTAGTTCATCACAGCCTTGTCTATTAGGATTGAGACTGTGAAAAGCCAGACACAACAGCGGGAGGCAGGGTGTGGACTGTGATGCAGCCACGGAAATGACCAGAGAATTTACGGCAATTGGCTTGGATATTCAGACAGATCAAACCAAAAACTAGAAAAGACGGCATGGCTAGCCTCGCCTCACTTACACAAGTCTGTGTGTGTGTGTGTGTGTGTGTGTCCTGGTCTCTACAGAGTCCCGTAGGAAGCCCCTCAGAGTTCAACATTCATTGTAGATGATTTTTTTTTAAGAACCATCTCACAGCACAGTCTGCAGAGAAGGGGCTACCAGTCCCAGACAGAGCACCACAGCAAGAGAGGAAAATGCTTTGTTTTATTACAAGACTTTTTTTCTCACGAGGCCGACAAGATGGCTTAGTGGGTAAAGGTGCTTGCCCCAAAATCTGTTGACTTAAGTTCAAACTCACATGATGGGAGGAGAGAACTGACTCCCACAAGTTGTCCTCTGGCCTCTATACATATATAAATAAATACACAAATAAATGCAATTTTTTTAAAAAAAAAAAAAAAGACCTTTTCTCATTCACAACAGATCATAGCAAAATAATAGCTGTAAACCATTGGTTTTAAATGTTATTCTTTAAGAAACAGAAGAGTGACTGTGCTTAATAATCTAAAGTGGAAAACAACCCACACATACCCCAGGAGATAAAGGATAGGATGCTCGTACTATGGAATATTATAGGGCAACGGCAACAATCTAGCTGTTCCTACTGCGATGACATATGGGACTCTCAACTGGGAATCTCCCAGGGCATTCCTGGCAAACGTCTGGAGATGGATCTGGTTGTCACAGCTGGGGATTCTGCTCCAGGCATTGAGTGAATAGAGGCTACAGATGTTGTGGGATACCCTACAGTTTATCAACGGTGCCCACAAATCCCCACATCCCGGAAGCATCTTGCTGAGTCAAGAGGCCACAGCTGTTCCAGCAGAGAGGTCAGTTGCTACTGAAAGATTAGCCAGCATCTGGATCCCATGCCTGAGTGTGCCATGCAGATGAAACTTCCAGCTCCATGGGAGCACTAGACTGGAGAACTGTCACATGATCCACAAGCCTTTCGCATCTACTTCCTGCGTACTATCAATCCTAGTGTCCTAGGAGGCCAGGTAGATAAGTACTACTTTGCATGGAGAAGGGCTCCTGGGAACCAAAATAGCACTCCAAGAGAAGGCCCAGCTTCTGGCACACTTAGAGGGGACCATGGAATAAAACAGCCAGCCTCGGGGATGGAGCCAAGAAAGGTGTGGCGGTGACCTAAGATATAGCATAGCAAATATCCCTCCCTGCAGTCTGGCCAATCCATACACCAAGCCTGCACAGGCCATCTGTCTGCAGAGGGGCAGCGCCAAACACTGGCCTGATTCAGAACTTTCTCAGCTCATTTATCCTCCGCAGCCTGAGCATCCAGGGTGGTGGACGGGACCTAGCACATTCAGAGTGATGCAGCCTTAGGTCCCAGAGGTTTTCAGCAGGTTTGAAATTACATGGGCTGGGGAGGGGGTGTCTGTGCTGTACCCACCCCTTATCCCTAGAACTCACCATGTACCTGTTCAGGAGCCTCCAGGATAGGTCTGGTAGTATGCTATGATGGTTAGTTTTTTGGTTTAGTTTGGGTTTGGTGGATGCTGTTGTTGTTATCAACCAAATGACACAACCAGGGTCATTTGGAAAGAGGGAACCTCCACTGAGAAAATGCCTCCGTCAGACTGGCCTGTAGGCAAGTGTGTAGAACATCTTCTTGATTAATGATTGATGGGGGAGGAGGGCCAAGGCACTGTGGGTGCTGCCACCCCTGGCAGGTAGTCCAGAGAAATAGAAGAGAGTTAGCTGAGCATGAGCCTGAGCAGCGAGCGAAGGAGCAATGTCCCTGCATAGCCTCTGCTTCAGCCCCTGCCCCTTCACGATAAACAGGGGTTAGGACTCATACACCAAATAAATGCTTTTCCTCCCCAAGTTGCTTGTGGTCATGGTGTTTATCACAGGAATAGAAAGCAAACTTGGACAGGTACCTATACCCTCAAGATCCTGGGGGGCCCATACCAACCATAGTCCATGACAAAAAAGAGAGGACCCCTCAGCCAGGAACCCCAACCTTGACCTGTATGTGCTTTAGAGTGTTGGAAGACAGTCCTGTGACCCCTGCTCCATGCTTCATGGACGCGGTTGGGGGAGACCATGCTGAAGGCCCCACCCCCAAGCTCCCTCTGTTCATTCCCATCAGCTCTAGAGAGGACTCCACAGGAATTGCTCCCTGCAGCTGTAGCAGCAGCCCTGCCTAAACATCCTCAGAAGGACAGCGGGAACCTTCAACCAAAGGAAAAAAAAAACAAAAAAAACAAAAAAAACCCGCGCAAACAACAACAAAAGCCCCCCAAAATCCCAAACTCTTGAGGACACCCAGTTAAGACTGTCTTTAATTACTGTTCTCTTCTGGTAGGATAAAAATTCCCCTCTCTTTAAGGCACAACCCCTCATTCAAGCTCTTTGTTAAAAATAACTCCAGCAACCGGCCATTAAGCCGGGAATGTGTCTTAGCCTACCCTTCCTTTTTTTTCCCCCCTCTGTTTGCAAATTGGCACCTTCCCAGAACTTCACAGAAGACAAAAAAAAGGGAAAGTCTTCCACAAGACCGCCACCTACCAATAGCACCGGGAAGATGAAGGTGGGTGGGACCCGTAATCCCACTGCAATGGGAGGCAATCCCCTCATCTCAGGCTGGCTCGCAAGCCTCCAGACAGGGTGTGTGTGTGTGTGTGTGTGTGTGTGTGTGTGTGTGTGTGTGTGTGTGTGTGTGTGTGTGTGTAGGAATCAGTTCTGTTCTTCCACCATGTGAGTCCCAAGCATGGAATTCAGGTTGTCTGGTGGCAGATGCCCCTGTCTGCTGAGCTGTCTCCCTGACCCCACCACTCCCCTTCTTAAGTAGAGTTAACACTTCAAACAATCTAGTCTTCTACCTGTCAGAGAGAAGCGTGCATGTTTTGAGAACAGACAGCGCCCCACTCAGGTTGGTCTGCAGCTCTTCACCAGCTCCTTGGAAGTCTCAGTCTTCTGGGTCCCCCGCTCCCCATAAGCCATCATCTCCTTCCCAACAGGACCAGTTGCGAATGTGTGCATGCATGCAGGCAGGCGTCCAGCCCTCCTGCTGCCTCTCCCTGAACATTCCAGTGAGGGGGGGGTGGGCCAGCAGCCTACATCTGCTTCCTGCGCCCACACTCCAGTCAGCTCTGCTGGGCAGGGTGCACATTTGGGTGGTGAACTCCAGTTTTTCCTGCTGCTGCGGAGCCCCATAAGACTTTAGTAGGGTAATCAGTCTTTAAGACTCTATGTTAGTCTGTCCTTGACCACTCATAAATCTGCATCTTCAGAAGCGAGTCACACACACAAATACATGACCCCAAGAGAGACGGAGTGGAGGGGGGCGGGGCAGGCTACAGTCTGTCACTGTTACCCCACCAGGATGATGACCTGAGACTCTCTCTCTCCCTCTCCTGTGTGTGTGTGAGAGAGAATGTGTGTGAGTGTGTGTGCACGCGCGCGTGTGTGTGTGTGTGTGTTTGTGTGTGTGTGTGTGTGTTCTCTCTGTTTCTCTCTCTCTCTCTTTCTCTCCTCCCTCCCTCTTTCTACCCCCTTCCATGGCATAGTGAAGGGGGCAGGCACCAGAAGAAGAAAGCAGGATGGAGGGGTCTATTAGCAGAGAGGAGTCTCTTTGCAGGTAGAGACAGACTTTCCAGAGCACTGGGTGGATGGACCCTGCTGTTGTGCTATACACAGCACACCTGAAATTCTCAGAGGTGGCTGTTGAATAGTAGGAGCCCTGTAAACCAGGTTAGGGGCAGGGCCAAGCAGACCATGTAGTTGACAAAGTTGGGGTCTCTGGGACCAGCCTGGAGATACTTCTAACACAAAGAAGAGGGAGAAGAGCAGGAGTGTCTCTCTTCACGAAGGGAAAGTGGAAACGATACCAGGACACAGGGGAAGAACAAACTCATGTTTCACATTTTAGATTTCGTAGCTCCAGCGCCAGCCTGAGTGCATGCGGGCCCATGTGTACACGTAAACAGATGCACACAAACAGGTGTGCTCTCCTTGGCATATGGATACCACGAAGCCCTGGTTCTGAGCTGGCTTGTCTGCCCTCGGCCCTCAGTGGCTCTTGCCCCACCCCTCCTGCCTCCGGAGAGCATCCCTGGCTGTGTTTCCCAACATGTCTCCACCTGGCCTCATGGTATCTGCTGTCACCTATGAGTTCCCTCTCCAGGAGCCTCACCTGAGGCCTCCCTGAGGCAAGATGCTAAATGCCAGCTACAGGCCTTTGAGAGATGCACAGGAAGGCAGCGCGTGCGTCGACGTGTGCACACGTCTCCGCATGAGCATCTCAGGAACCTCAGTGCATCAGCTCCCATCTCTGCTGCTCTCACCTACAGGCGGAGCTCCATCAAGATGGGAGAGAGCCTCGGCGCGAACGAATGAATGAACGAACGAACGAACGAACGCATCAGGACAAACAGCTCATCCCTCCAAACCCAAACACGGAGATGTCACTCTCAGGCTCAGAAGCAGCAACACCACAGAGCTCAGCTCTCCATCTTGCTAACAATGTCGTGCCTGCTAAGTGACACTGGAACAGCTTTCCCTCTCCTCCAAGCAAAATATTGTCACAAGCCAGAGGCGCATACCCGTAAGAGCCGTACTTGCTTTGGAGAGCCACAGCAGGCCCCAGAGGCCTCTTCACTCAATGTCAGCCCACGTGTCGTGGGCAAGGCTCAGCCGTGTGGTTCAAGAATAAAATCGCAAGGAGATGGACTCTGGGAAGGAAAAAGTGCTCCTTACCCGGCACCAGGCCCATGAGCTCAACGCCACGGGCAGCGAACCATATCCAGGGCCAGTGAAGGGGACCACCTTCCACTCACCAATTTGTGCCTGAGATGGACGGTGATCAGAGGAGAGCCCGAGAGGTTCTGGGACAGAGTGGGCGGTGGGGACACCTCCAGGGAGATCAGGTGGCTGGCGACAGACAGCAGGCAGTCTCTGCAGTTCACAGCCTCAGGAATCCTGGGAAATGAGAGGAAATGGGTTACAGACAGGGATGGAGGGAGGACGTGCCGATAGACCGTGACCTTGAAGCCAAGAGTTCTGAGACCAATATTTGAGCCCGCATCTGGAAGCAGCCTTTGCTGCTAAACATTGCAATTCAATGCATCTGCATGCCTGGCTGTATGTACAACCTCAAGCACCCACTCACCCCTGTCTGAACCCAACCTTCCCTGATGACACAAACATGTGGTCAGTACTTGTGTGCTGGGGTCTACTGTCTCATTGCTCCTGTCCAATCGTTTCCCCACGAAGGTGCCTCAGTTTCCCCAGTTCATTCAGTTGGCCAGTCTTTCTCCACTCAGCCGCACACTCAGAGCTGAGTCCATGGCTCAAGAGCAAGCCCCGCCATCTCCAGCTCTGTTGGTCAGCACAGCACATTGCTCAACCACATGACAGCTCGGAGATGAGGTCACGCGCACCCCAGGGATCTTCCAGGAGAGTCCCGCTTCCCTCTGCTGGGTGTCAGCTCTAAAGGACAGGGTCTCCCTGGCTTAAAACTGTAAGGGGACTGACTGCCTGACAGAGAAGGGAGCCCACCCTGGGAAGAGCCTAGAGATGGGATGTGGTAGCAACGCCGGGGCAGCTGGGTCACGCTGCTCCTGAAGCCAGATGCTTGCATTATTCTACTTATATTATTACATTATTACATTATTCAGCTTACATTGTTCAACAAGTTCCCCGTTTGCTTAAAACCCTTCAGACTAGATTTCCCTGCCTCATTCCAACCCACAGCAACCCCTTCCTTGACATCTCCTAATCCTTAGTCTTGGAGTTCTGAGGTTGAAATGCTATTCATGGCCAAAGTCAGGGACAGTGCCGTGAGATATCTGGTACGCAGAAGTTTGGCTTAGGGACTGATGAACTCGGTATGTGGATGATCCTGGGGTGAGTTTAATTATGTGCCCGAGCTTCCTGCTCCCCTCACACCGACTGTGGAGGAAGCAATGGAAAGAGAGAGAAATAGAGAGAAGGAGGGAAGAAATCTTCCTAAGGGAGACAATCCTAAAGGCAGGTCTGCTGCCTTCCCATTCTACAGGTGTGGAAACTGAGGCTCAGAGAGCTTCATTCATGGCTCCCAGATCACTGTCAGCCCAGAGGGCGCTGAGGTCTCTAGCCTGTGCCTCTAAGCATAGCTGGCCAGTCTGCCCTAGAGCCTGCTGGATCCCACTGAAGGAATTCTTGAGTCTTTTCCAAATGGCTAGAAGCCCATTCTGGCTCGAACAGCAAGGCAGCAGGTGTTGGTAGGAAAAGTTTTCTAACATGCATGTGTGTGGCAGTGTAGGGTGTCATCGTGGTTGGTCACCCAAGAAACAAGTGCATACACACACATCCCACACATCACCTTACGATACTTACTTTGTGCTGGCTGGGGGGATGTTGTTCAGGTAATAGTGCATGGAGTGGTAGAGGAGGCCGACAATCGTGGTCCAGGCTAAGGACAAAGCAGAGGTCAGACACCCGTCAACACCCAGTCACAAGCAGGAAGTGTGCAGAACCACGCACACAGCAGGGCTGAAGACAGCGACTAGGTGACTTGGCGTGGGGGGCGAGGGTTGGAAGAGCCACGGAATGATGAAATTTACAGCAGCATGGACACCGTGGCTAGCCCTGTGCTCAGCCGGGACAATGGCCTCCTGCCCTGTCCCCTATGTCCACTCCAGACACAGGTGCCGAGCGAGGCCTGCCCAAGACACCACAGAGCCTCGGGAGCAGGGGGCTCTTCATGGGCTACCAGTTGTCCAGCACTGAGTGTGTCTCAGTCGGTCTGCAGGATATGCTGATACTCAGATGCAGGTCCGCAGACTAGTAGACACCCAGATGGCTGCAATGCACCTCCTACCCCTTAGTACAGTGAAAACCACATACTCAACTCTTTTCTCACTCCAGAAGTGTGAGATCACTCAGCCGTCATTGGCTGATTCCCTGAACTCTCCCTAATGTTAACTCAGGACTCACTATACACCAGGCACAGTGATTTATACACACTTGGCCTTGTAAAGTCTGAAACAATATCACGAAACAGGTATTATGATTGTCCTGGCACAGATACGATCAGCGACTTGCCCAAGGTCACACAGCCAGCAGTGGCGAAGCTGGGACTCTAACCACAGAATCTGGGTTGGTTAACAGAAAGTGTTGAGAATGTGGCCTCTGACCCTTCTAGAAACCTGGGTTATTTATAATATGTCCCGCAGTGGGACCTAGGAGGATATAAGACCCTATGCAAGGCTGCTAAGTGGTGCCTCTCTCCTGACAGCAAGATACACTGAGTCTTTGCCAGGAGAAGATAGACGTCATGGGCACCTGTCCTCCAGACCAAGAGATGGGTCCTTGCTGGGGGAGGGGCTGTGTGGCAGGGCTGGGTCTCTGTCGGATGAGGATCCACGCCAATCCACAACTGTGAGTGGACACAAGAGGAAAGGATCTGCATAGAGGATGCCATCCAGATACAGCCAGAGTCGCCTGGGCCACATCCATCAGATGCCCTTAGCTACTCACTCATAATGAGACTTGACTTGGGCCTGTCCTGGGATAGTTTCTGGCTCTCCTATACAGACATACCCATCTGTGGCTCCTTGAACAAGGAGGGGAGGTGCCCCATCTATTCCCATTCAACTAACCAGGAGCTGAGCAGATTGGGGGACACACACAACATCCTGTGTCACCGTGGGTCAGACTCACAGGAACATAGTTTTGCAGAGCCTCACTCCAAGGCCCAGCTCAGTTTACAGTGTGTTGTGGGATGAGGTGGAAAGGCATGCTTTGCATCGGAGCCCTCTCTGGGAGCACCCAGTCCCACTCTCCCGTGGGGCAGCTCCATCAGGGAGGGACAGTCACCCAGACTGGACCACCTGAGAGCCTGAGCAACCAAATCCGCTCACCTTTGCTGTGAAGGGCCTCTCTCGGAATCTCAATGTAGCTGTGTCCATGGGCTGGGAATCTGTAATGGGGGGTGCTCAGTGCTGGGGGGAGGACCTTGGCCACGGAGAAATCTGAAGGAGAAGTGGACACCGTAAGTGGGGTCATCAGGCTCACTGGCTACAAGAAACAGACTGAAACCCTGTGTGTCACTATCCTTCATTTCTTAAACCAAGCCAACTCCTAGGGGAGAGGAATCGCCTCTAGAAAAAGCGACCCAGAACACATACGTGCACACACACACATGTGTGCGTCCACAGGCATATGAGTTAGGGTGAGAATTTCTGCAGAGGCTAAGTCCTCCGGCTACATCCTAAAGGAACTCCTACCTGGTGGGATCCCACCCCTCTGTACCCCTCTGGCTTTAAGCGCTCAGTCTCATGTTATCAATGATGCCAGACCCCATGGGAGGGAGACTGTGGCTATCTCAGCTCTGGGAGACCCTGTCAGGAAAGGGAAAAATTAAAACACATGTGTGGAGGGAGTGCCTTGGCAGACAGGCAGCTCCAAAAGCTCCCTCTGGGGGCAGATGAGGCCCTGGGCTATGGTGGGGTGCTGTGTGTTGCCCCTGCACTGAAGTGTCCTCAGACAGGAACTCAAAGCGAAGAATTTATGCCTGTCTGTGGGGGACCTGACATATTCTGGGGAAACCAGGCTGCTTCCTCTGAGATATCCCATTCTGGCATTCACCCAGACTCACATTCTGGGCTCCTCTCCTCCCCTTCCAACAGCCTTCTTCACCCACTCCTCATCTCCAAGGCAGAGAGCATCTCATTGGATACTTAAGGACCCAGAGGCTCATGGGAGTTGGAGTCCCCATTTTGTTTGAGCCCAGACAACTGTCGTGGGACACCTGTAGCTCCACACTGCATTACTGTTTATACAGTCCTGTGTGCATACCCTGACCCAGCGCTTCTGGCCTCATGCTAACACAGTTTTCTTCAAAAATGGGGTTTTGCACAAGGTACTCGACCTCAGAGAAATGGTGGTTGATCTCAGCTGCTGAGTGAGCCTCAGACAGCGTGAAGGCCAGTGGTCCACACACCTGGCACGCTCCCTCCCACGACCTCCACCGTCCCCCAATCTGACAATGGCTACCTGCCATGGAGGAAGAGCCTGTGAGGGTGACATGGGGTTCTCTGGGCTGCAGGTTGGATGATATGTGGCCCATGACGGCATCGATGGTGTCGACCAGGCCCAGCGTCACGGCGTTGTCCTGGAAGCGACACAGATGTGAAACTCTGAGGACCACCACGCTCAGCATCACATGAAATCAGCACATCATGAACTCGGAGCTTTATCGCTTCCCCATGAAGGCCACAAGAGAGAGAGAACCAACCCACTGCCCCACTCTGAAGCCTGGGCGGTGATCATGCACCTGATGAGTTCACGGAGCATGGACACAAGTCAAAGCTAACCCAACGTCATAGCATTAGTTCCTGAGTGGCCAAAGGGCTCAGACACCTGTTTGTAGCTCTGCTATGAACTCCCCAAGAACCTGGGCAAGTCTCAGGTCTGCCCATGTCTCTGTCTTACAGCTAATGGCCCTGAGTCCCCTGAGGCATGAGGACACCAACAATTCTTTTCCCCTCGCAATGAAGCAGCAGCCTCTTTGGAGGTACCAGTCCCCAAATTCCATCTGGCCTCCTTGGCTCCCCATGCAATGGCCCTCCTCACCTACTCTGCATCTTTAAGGCAGAAAGGACACCACTGGATTCTATCTACAGGAAGACGGGTTCCTTCTAGTTGCACAGACCTCTGCTGCCAATTTGGGACCAGTGTCCATGTCAGGGTCCATGTCCACCTTGGCCTGACTGTCTTGGACCTCAGACACCATGGCAAAGAAGAACAGTTGTCTCCGCCCCCTACCCCACTCTGCCCGGCTCTGCTCCCCCTACCTCACCCATCCCCTCCCATCCTTTCTTAGACAGCATCTGTGCTGTTGAGCTCCCGACACCCTCTCACAAACACTCCAGCAGGACTTACTGAGGCGGAACCAGATACACAGGCCAATTTTAGACATTGTCTCTTAAGCCCGTGGTCTGATTCCAATCAGAACGTCTGTGTCTTTGGCACATGGTTCTGGGGGGGAGCAGCGATTCATGCGTGCCCTGCTCTTCAACGCTCATAAGCTTGCCTAAGCCTGGATTGTTTCGTAATTATTCATATTTTGCCACAGATTTGCATGTTTTACATTCAAAGAAAGTTCATTTAAATCAATGAAGAAAAATCTGTCAATCCGAGGCCTCCACTGGCTGCTGTCCCTCTTCTGGCTGTCCTCACTGGCTCTTCTCCCATGGTTCAGACTGCAGCTTGTACACAAAGTCCCTTAGAAACCTATCCCTGGAAGTCTACGCTTCTTGAAAAAGACTGTGTTTCTTTTTCTTTTTTTTTTTTTAAAGATTTATTTTATTATGTATACAGTGTTCTGCCTGCATGTACGCCTGCAGGCCAGAAGAGGGCACCAGATCTCATTACAGATGGTTGAGAGTCACCATGTGGTTGCTGGGAATTGAACTCAGGACCTCCCACTCTTATGTTCTTGACTCCCTTCCCATTTGCCAAGGTTATGCAATCTCATCTCACGTGAAGCCGTTCGAGAAACGGCTCATGGCACGCACAGACCCTCATGCGGTCTTATTGATACGGTGAGACTTGGCTGTCGCCTCTGCCTCTCAACCTTGCAAAAATCTCTGAATGATTGAAATGAGGAGGATCCAGGAGAGTGAGCACTTCAGCATGTTCGTATGATCAGGGCCCTCCTGGGCACCTGGGAGGCCTTCATTGTCCCTCTCATTGAACTCCTGGAAGCCATGTGTGGCACAGAAGCTGGGCAGAGCTGAGTTCCTGAGTCCCAACACGGACTCTGAATATTTGAGAGGTGAATGCCCACTATACCAAGTCACTGTGAGGTGGGGTCTCTTGTTACTATAGCATGGCCTATACTGACCTGACTAACACGGTGTTCAGAGTACCTTGGCAAATGGTCTTTCTCCCCACTTTCCCCATTTTGTGTGTGTTTGTGGTATGCATGTGAGTGGGTCTCTATGCCCACATGTGCATGTGTGCATGTGGGGCCTGAGGTTCATGTTGAGCACCAGTCTCAATCACCCTTCCCCCTCACTCACTGAGGCGGGGTCTCTCAACCAAACCTAGGGCTCACCTATATGGCTAGCCATCTTGCTCTGGGGATCACCTGTCTCTGACTTCCCAGGTTGGAATTAAAGGGAGCCTGCCAAGCCCACCCAGCATTTGTGTGGGTGCTTGGGATCTGAACTCCAGTGTGAATGCTTGTGAGCCAGCTCCCCAAGCCCACCTTGGCAAACATTCTTGGTAGAATTAAGGAAAAGCAGGTCCCGTCAGATGTCTGTAGAGCGAATGTGCATGAGTGGGCTCTGGACCAGACTGTGGGGTCAGATGAGGTTGCTCACCGTCACGCTCTGCCTGAAGGCCCTGGGTGATTCTTATCTTAGGTATTTTTATCATTGGCCGTTGCCACAACTATTCATCGACTGTTCTCATGTTTTAAAGAAGTAATATCAATAGGGTGGTTTGGAATCAAAGAAAGGCACTCTGTTCTGCTTCCTGAATTTTGAGTGCAAAGGGACAAAAGCCTTTCATTTTCTCACTTTAATCATGAAGCACACTTTTGCGCTTCCCATCTCACTCAATCCGCTGATCTTAAAATGCCAAATATGGCTCTTATGACTATTCAAGAATGCAGACTAAAGGGGAAAAAAATGCATTGTGCGAAATGACAAGCAAAGGTCAGCCTTCTGGAAGAGCTGGTCCCTTTCCCAAAACCAGAGATGGTGGCACGGGACTGGGGATACCAGGGTCCCCAGCAGACCAGAAGACACAGTACCCTGGGTATATTTCATGCCCAAGGGTAATGAACTTCAGCATCTCAGACATCAGGACCAGGAAAGACCCTGGGATGCCACTGCAGGAAGACAGTCATAACCCAGTACACACACACGCTGAAGGTCAGAGCATCCTTCCTCTTACCTCTGATACGTGGGTCCAACTGGGCAGCAGAAGTACATCGCCCACAGTTCTTAAGAAGGTCTAAAGATAAACAGAACAACACTGCTTAGCATAGATCCTTGAGCCTCACATCTGAGTCCATCAGTCTCCTCCCACTTCTCCTCAGCCGATAATTGGTTTAGCACACAGGCAGACCATAGTAGTTTATAATAAATAATAAAGGTGTGTGGACATCTGTGTATGTTTACATGTGCGTGGGCACACTTTTGTGCTGATGCACCTGGGAGTGCATGTGTGTGCATGTGAAGCCCAAGGCTGGTGTCAGGGAGTGTCTTCAATGACTCGTCCACCTTATTCATTGAGACAGGCTCTCTCAACTCACCCCAGAGCTGGCCAGTACGGCTAAACCTCACCAACCAGCTTACTCTGGGGAGCTCCTGTCTCTGCCTTCTGAGACTGGAATTATGGCAGGTTGCCATGTCCACTCAGCATTCTGTGGATTCTGGGGACCTGAATTCAGATCTTCAGGCTTGTGGGTCAAATGCTTTAATCCCTGAGCCCTCTCCCCAGCCTCGGGCTATGTCTTACAGATGCTATCTCCTCGCTTGTTTCTTGTGACAACTTTGTGAAGTCAGTGATCAGAATGTGGATATCACAAGTGTCCAGTGCATGTGGTAGGCCCCAGCATGTCCAATCAATGAATGAATGGATGAGCGGATGAATGAAGGAATGAGTGGATGGATGGATGAGTGGATGGATGGATGTGGGGATGGATGGATGGATGGATAGATGAGTGGATGAATGGATGGATGAGTGGATGGATAGATGGATGGATGGATGGATGGATGGATGGATGGATAGATGGATGGATGGATGTGGGGATGGATGGATGGATGAGTGGATGGATAGATGGATGGATGGATGGATGAGTGAATGAGTGAATTAGTGAATTAGTGAAACTGCTTCTTTTGAAAAAAAAAAGGCATTAGCCTGCCAGCATCCCCTGTAACCATGGAGGAAAGCTGAGCAGGGTAGTTGCTTCAGTGGTACTTGCCCCAGCTCCTGCCCCTCCCTACTCATCTGTCTCAGTCTTTCCCTTTCATCTCTGGCTACAGACACCAGACTCAAGCTTGGAGGCCAATTCACTGACCTCCATTTCCTCTGCCCAGTGGTTCTCAACTTTCTGAATGCTGCGACCCTGTAATACAGTTCTCACGTTGTGGCGACCAACCTCCAACCATAAAACTGTTTTCGTTGCTACTTCATAACTGTCATTTTGCTACTGTTATGAGTCATCACATAAATATTTTTGGAGATGGGGGGGGCGTGCCAGAGGGGGTCGCGACCCACAGGTTGAGAACCATGTGGCGTCTTCCCGGTCAACGAAGTCCTGTCCCTCCTCACCACATACGCTAAGTATGTGCAGGGTGCCTCATCAAAGCTTTCTTGTCCCATTCATCTCCATCCCACAGCTGTTGATTTGTATTCTCAAGCGCGGGGGCTTAACTAATGACCGTAAAAATGCTTCTGTTTTCCCTCCTTGATCAGAGGAACAGCAAACATTTTTTTAATCCCTTAGTCGTTTCCCTCCTTCTCCCCCTCCTCTTCTCTCTCCTCCTTCCCCCTTTTCTCTTCCTTTCTCCCCTCCTCCCCACCTTTTCCTCCTCCTCTTCTTCTTCCTCCTCTTCCAGAAGGTCTCATATAGCCCAGGCTGGCCTCAAACTCACTATACATAGAACTACCCAGGCCAAGGATGACCTTGATCTTCTGATCCTCTTCCCTCTACCTCCCAAATGCTGGGGTTACAGGTGTGTACCACCAGACTTGGTTTGTGTTGTACTGGGGGTCATGTTGGGTAAGCACTCTTCCAACTGAGCCATGTCCACAGGCCCCCATGATTTTTCTAAAAAGCCACAAAGTAGAGACTTCAGGTGGTCAGGCTATAGCCTCAGCTCTGCCACAGAGTGCAGAAGCAAGCTAGACTTTGCAGAAGTGAGCGACCATATGTCCTTAAAATTTTACTACAGAAATAAGCTATGCATGGATTACATTTGGCCTAAGGGATAGAAAACAGTTCTGAGAGCAGAAATGAGTGAACCACATCAGTTAACTTGGATTTTTTTCTCTTCTCTTTTTTTTGGGGGGGGGGACGGGGCAGGGGGAGGCATAGGATCAAATGATGTAGTCTCAAGGTCATCCTGCCTCAGTTTCCCATGTACTAGGATTACAGGTATGTACCACCACACACAGCTTTCTATTTCTAATCAGTTGCTTCTATGAGGGGGAGCTAAATCAATTAAATAGTATATTTTATTTACTTAATTCAACACATAAAAGTATCATTTCAACATGCACATCATATTTTTGCTAACCGTTAGATATTTTACATTTCTTTTGTTCAGGCTGAGGGGGCTCCAGTGGGCATCCTGTACATGGGTCACTAGTCGCTGTACATGAACCATAGACCTCGCACTCAAAAGCACACCCAACTGACAGTACAGCCTAGGAAGTGGCCTCTGGCCACTGTACTAGGCCATCACCGATGGTCAAAAGCCAGGACACTATGGAAAGCTATACAATGACTTCCTAGAAATTTTGTTTCCTGTTCAATTGGAGTTGAGAAGTTGTGGACATCATCATTCTGTATGATTTGTCCCCAGGGTACCAGGGTCAGCACAGGCCATGGAAAAGCCTCAAACTGATGACCACTGGGCTCAGTCAGCCTTGAGGTGGTCTTCATTTGATCTGTATACATTTCCTTTTAAAATGCCAGCCGTGTTTTCAAGGCTTAGGGCTTCCCCTTGCCAAATCAGAAGAGAAGAGACTGAAGGTTGAAATCAGGAGGCTTCGAGTAGCTGGCTGTTGCTCTCTACGGGTCAGCTGTCTGTCCGGTGGTCCTGCCCATCACATCCTTGACTTTGATCATTGATTCCCTCCTACCCCCCAAAGGCATCTGGGTTTGCAATCTCTGACTCTGTGAGGTTCAGCAGAGAGGCAAAGAGGAAGTAACAGGCAAAGAGCCAAGCCACCAAGCTCAGGAAGTGTTTCCCATGTGGCCTGCATTAAAGTCTGTGTTCCAATACGCCATCTTATGAAGAACATGGAAACACCTTGGCCATGTGTCCCCACCTCACTTCCTCCCCCACCAGCTGTCATTGTAGCTCCACACTGGGTTTAGCAGAACAACGTGTCTCCCCTGACCCAAGTCCCTCCATACTCAACCCCATGTCCTTCCTGAAAGATACATGCTACTCTTTCTGCGGCCCTCAACCACAGTGCCTCTCAGCATGCACGGCTCAAGGAAGCTATGGTTCATGCCTGCCACAGCCCCTCATCTGCCTTCACATTCCAACAGGCGATAAAGGATCATGAGGTGGGAACTAGAGTGTGCTGAGAGGCTGAGGAAGCAGACAGACTTTTGAAAGATTCCTATACTCTATAGACAGACTCTCGGACCAGCTGTTACAAGAACAAACGAGAGGTCTGATGATGCACTTACTGTAGGCCAAACCCTGCTCCAGGGCATCACATACCATCTCCCATCGGTGACCTGTGCATAATCTAAGAAATAAAACTTGCCTAAACATCAGAGGACAGAGCCAGCCACCGAGTTAAACATAGAGAGGTCAGGCAGGGGTGGCACACACCTTTAATCCTAGCACTTGAGAGGCAGAGAGCCATCTGGATCTCTGTGAGTTCAAGACCACACTGAGCTACATGAGATTGATTCAGTCTAGGAGAGAAACAGAGCCAGGCAGTGGTGGCATACACTTTTAATCCCAGCACTAGGAAGGTTGAGATAGGAAATGAATTGACTGGGCAGAGAAAGGCATATAAGGTGTGAGGAGACAGGAACTCAGGAGCCCCTTTCGGCTGAGGACTCAGAGGCATTCAGTCAGAGGATTCATGGAGTTGGCAAGGTGAGAAGTGACTGTGGCTTGTTCCTTTGTCTCTCTGATCTTTCAGCATTTACCCCGATATCTGGCTCCGGGTTTTTACTATAAGATCATTTAGGATTCGTGCAACATTGACCTATAAGATTGCCCAAATTTAGAGATTTTCCACCCAATCCTGCCCCTCTTCCTATGGAAACAGGAAGTGTGCCACACAGGCCATTTTGCCCAACCAAGATCTTTTTCATGACTGGCTGGTCTGCCATGACAATTCTGCTCCCCTGGGCTGGTGATTGGTCTAGGTGAGGTCAATAAGCCCAGTTACGGTCAATAAGCCCAGTTACGATCAATAAGGTGGGGTGGCTACTTCCAGGGTGCTGAGGGCTGTGGGAGTATACAGTAGGTGACAACTAGTGTTTGACAAGTCGACCCACCAGATGTATGACTCCCTGATGGGAAGCCCCCCCTGGCAAAGCCGTGGGGTCACTGGCTGTGGGAAACCGTTGTTTTCTGTCTGTAACTTTCTTATGTGCCACCATTATACCTCCCTATAAGCACAGCTGTGGGATGCTTTCCACAGCCCTTCGGTAGTGTGTTTTACATCTCTGGGCACACATTCAGCTGTGTGTGGGAGCCCATTTTCAGGTTTCCTGATGGCTTTACCCAGCAGGTCCGCATCGAGAGTACGATTGGACCCCGGGCCTGAGTGCAGGTGTCTGAGATGGTCTGCACTTGGCTGTGCTGGGGGGTGGTCTTTTGCTCCACCCCTTCGCATTCCTTTATATACCCTAGGGCAGAGACAGTCGGGGGCCGGATGGATTAGGATCCAGGCCCTCTTGAGGCTATCCTGTATTTTCTATTTCTTTCTCTCCCCTCTATCCTTCTAATATTTCCTGCTTCTCCTACTCAAGAGTACTCTGGGGAAATGTGAGGGTGGTGGGTAGCCCCCCCCACCACAGTCGTGGATGTCTGTTTAAGCTGTATAATTCTGGTGAATAGATATATTACCAGAATATTCTTCTTTACTGACACAGGAAAGTAACAATACTCTCAGTCTCAAAGACAGCCTTTTACACATTTTGCAAAGACCTTAGAACTCGTCCAAAACAGGCTAAGCTGCCCCTACAGAATGTACACAAAGACTAATTCCCAGGTGTTATTTATTGCTAAATCAAGGCCAGGCTGTTTACATCAAGACATAATCCTTGCATCAGCTCCCTTTCTGCACATACCCTGACCACTTAAGGTTCAGCCAATTGTTTACTGTCTGAGACCCCCTCACCAACTTAGAGCTCCGTGAATGGGTCAATGTGACATTACTAGCCTAAGAGAAACTGCGTGACTTATCTTGTGTTGTGAGAATGGGTAGGGCCCTGAAAATGTAACGTATAGTTGTCCAGAGTTTGGCTGTGAGGGAGAGCAGCAGCGGCAGTGTGGAGAGAGATGGCTGTGTAGTGTATGAGAAAGAGAGAGAGAGAGAGAGAGAGAGAGAGAGAGAGAGCGCCATGTGAAAGAGCTGCTGCTATGTAGGAGAGCTGTGCCTAGGAACTGTGTAAAGTTCTGTAAGGTGAGAAAGCTCTGTAAATGAGATGTTTAGTTGTGGCTGGAGATTTGTAACTGCGGAAGCAAGGAAGATGCTGTATGGAAAAGAGATATAGAAGAGAAATATATGCAAAAGATAGAGGTGTAGACATGGGGAAACAGGTGTGACTGTGTATAGAGATGTATGGACGTATGTATGTAAAGAAAGACATGTAGCTGTATGTATAGAATGTAGCAATGTGGAGATATGTAGCTGTATGGAGACAGAGTCAGAGATCATTCTTAAGATGAAGTAAAAGAGAGAGTTAACATCAGAAAGCATGTGTGTTTTCTTACACCAGTCAGATAGATAGAAACTTACTCCTAATTACCCTCAGATAAAACAAAAAGTCTAGCCCTCGCCGCCTTCGTGGATTTTCTTGCATTGCCCTGGAGGTGGCCTTGGAGCAGGCTCTCCATAACACCCCTGATACCAGGGCATCATGGGAAGGCTTCTGCCCTACAAAAATGAGACACTCACCCTTCCCATCCCCAGCACATCCAGACACAAAGGCAAAGGGCTGGGAGTAGTTGTATGGATATAGAAACTGGGCCCATTGGACACTATAGTTCAGAGCACAATGACCTCAACAGTAACAGATCAGTGGTCAGGACGCATAAAGGAGGGCCACATAGCCGATCCACCCAGCCACTGTCAATGCCAAGGACTCAGACACCATGGTCCACACCTGCTCTAGGCTGAAGCCTTCTTATTGCCATACAGGTACCAGTTAAGTATCCGGGCAGCACGACTCCTCCACACCTCCAGGGAAAGTGAGGCCTTGCAGGGTTAGACAATGTGCCTGCCAAACTTCCAAGAGGACAGGGCTGGGCTCATCCCCAGCTTGTTCCACTCCAGAGGCTGGAACCTGAACCGAGACCCCCAAGCCCATCCTTTACAGAACCTGAATCTGTCTTAGCCCTCAACCTCTTGAAAGCCGTAGTAGTTCTGGGTGACGTGGAATTCTAGAACCTGCATGTTCCGAGAGATGATGAAATCTCAGACATCCAACTTGCTTCTCCTGCCCTGATCAAGAAAGCTACTGACTACCTCCAGCCACTCTGGGGAGCCTCTGGTCACTATATCCCAGGTTGGATATGTTTCCCTGGGTATGCCTTCAGAACTAGACACTAAAGTGCACAGGGATCCATTTGGTGCCCTGAGATATGGTCACAGTAACTATTGCCTCCATGTGTCAGAATAGCCAGGAAGCCAGCAACATTTGTACCCTAAGAAGAAGTACACAGTTATAATAACATGCAGGGCAAAGGCAGGTCTAGCAGCCAGACTCCACACTCCCTGCTCATCGCCTTGGGGTGTATTCTCAAGAACGGCCTATCTCAAATACCCCTTCTCTCTCCATACCTGAAAATAACCCTGGGTCAAGAAAACCATACAGCTGTGAGATACCTCAAGCTCCTTCCTCTCCCTGGGAACTGTTACGAGGAATGAAGAAAGGGAGCGTCTCGACTTTAATGTCCTAAGCACCATACTCATGGAGTGCTCTGGGTGACTTCAGGAAGGCACACTGTACATGGCGACCTGTGGCCTCTAACTACATCTGCTAACATCCCCCCACATCTGCTTTATTGCTGAGGAGACATCAGACTTGACACTATGAGTTGCAAGCTCTGGAGGCTAGGTAGGTGTGTGGATGGACCAGGAAAGCTAGATGCTGGGAAGTGAAATGAAGATCCAATTCTCAGCTCAGGGAGGCTTCACTGAGCATCACAGAGCTGGCCAGAACAACCTGCCTGTTTAGAAGAAGCCTAAACTTTGTTAGGCAAAGGCTCTTGATCTTGCTGTTTGTTTGTTTGCACATGCGTGTGCAAGAGCATTGTGTGTGCACGTGGGTGCGTGTGCACGTGCGTGTGGTGTTCGTGAATGTAAGCCAGATGTGTGTAGGTGCCCCTGGAAGCCAGAGAAGGGTGTTGTATCCCCTGGATCTGGAATTATGGATGGCTGTGAACCATGCAGCATGGGTGCTAGGGGACTGAATTATAGTCCTCTGTAAGAGCCACAACTGTTCTTAACTGCTGAGCCATCTAGTCAGCAGCCATGGCTCTAGATCTTTCTAACTTTCTAATTTATGGCCCAGCCATGCGTCAGCCCCAACCCACCAGCCAAAAGCACCAGAGCCTTACCTGTGTGAGGTTCAGCGCAGTTTCCTCTGAGAGGGATTTATTGGGCAAGCTGAGGGACACATTTTGAAGGTATCTAAGCACCGTTCCAGGCCTCTGGAAGCATTTTCTCTCCTCTGTCAGGTTGGTGATGATTGGGTGGTAGGCATCTGTGGGCATCTGAAATACAGTGGCCACACGACTTCCTGCTAGGAACTAAAACCAGGACATTCTATAGAAGCTCAAGGTGACCTCTGGCTCTGGTCCCATCCCAGGACAGTACCAAGACTGGTCCCTCACACACATGGATGCTTCTGGGAAGAGCCTGCATAGAGACAGCATCCCATCCTCACAGCCACCTCATGAAACAAGAACTGCTCGAAAGATGAAATTGGCCATATGGGCATACACAGAGAGAAAGAGAGAGGCATGCAGAGTTGATGACCGGTAAACAAAGATCTGAACCCAAGTGGACTAGAGTCCGGGCATTTGCTGTCAAAGTTCCTGAGCAAGGGACATTCTTTAGACACAAAAACTAACCTGAAGCAGCCACAATTCTGTATAAATCAACCCATTCCTCCGATGTCAGAAAAAGAGTCACCAAAGGAAGGTGAGAAGAAATGGGTCTCACTGCCCAGGAAGCCATTTCAGGGGTCACTGGCTCCCCACAATTTCCTTTCTTCCTAGCGTTCCAAGGAACAGGAACCAAGGGGATCATTTTTCCCATCACTCTGGTACCCAGTGTTACCCTGAAACTGGATTCCCTCCCTTTATTATTTCACCCTGGGACATGCCTCTGGCCTTGCTGGCACACAGCACAAGCCAACCCAAGCGCCAGGAGGGTGGGGTTATGGTTTGAATGTGAACTACTCCCCTGTGAAAGCTTTGGTCTCTAGTGGGCGGCACTACTGAGATGCAATTGGGTTGTGGCAGGGTGCTAACTTCATCAATGGATGAAACCCATGGATGAGTGGATATGTTGTAGAATGGGCTGTAGAGGTGGGTGGGGTCCAGGTGGAGAAAGAAGGATGTGCCACTGAAGGATGCATGATCCTCAGACTGTCCTTCTCTTCCTACCCCTACCTCACCTCTCTTTCACCCCCATCCTTGCTTCCTGGTTGCTAGAGAGCACAGAGGAAGCATCTTTCCCCCACTTGGCTTTCTACCATGTTTCTGCCTTGTCTCCGGCCCTCAGCAATGCACCCAAGCACACCACAGACTGAAAACCCTTTCTCTCCCTTGTGTTGTCTTCTCAAATACTTTTGTCCCAGCTACGAAATGTGACTCACACATGGGGCAAAGGGAAAAGGCCCCTGCTCACCACAGAGTGCGCTGTGGGCATCGCCGGTGGTGTTGAAGACATCAGAGCATGTTTACCTGAAAGAGAAAAAACAATGCTTCCGTGAGGCTAAATCATCCTTCGTCATCCCCCAGGGAGGCCTGCCCTTATTCGGATTTTACCAGCTTGAGGTGTCCTACGGAGGTGCGGAATGTTTTGAGCATGGATGTTGCTGGGAAGATAAAGGGCTCATAAATCAGCCTAAAAGGTAGATTATATGGATTTTCCCAGCAGAAATTATTTTTCCATTTATATTGTAAATTGCCTCTGAACACCGTTCATGCAAGCCATCACATAAAAGGATGATTTTATGCAAGGTCTCACGGATTTCAAACAAAGAGAGAATGAGGAATAGGCTTCAGTTTCACCCAGACTCATTATAGATAAGACACAGGATCCTTAATCACTGGGTGCTATGGTTTGAATCAGAAGCGTCTCCCACACTCGAACATTTGGTAACCAGCTGGTGGCACTATTTTTGGAAGGTTCTGGACACTCTGGGAGGCAGATCCTAGCTGGAGAAGTGAGGGCCGCTAGGGACAGGTCCCTGAGGGTGTATTTATCCCTACCCACTTCCTGTTGTTTTTTTCTCTGCTTCCTGCCCCACTGTGACATGACTAGATGTCCTCTTCTGCTACGATGTCCCACTCAAATGGAGCCCAGTGGCCACCAGCCGGACCCTATGAAATCATAAGCCAGGATCCATCAATCCGACTTAAGTAAGTAGTTTTTGTCAGGTGTTTTGTTACAGCTTAAAAGAAACTGATACACTAGGCTAAAATGCCACCCCAAAAGTGGTGAAGGAGACAGAATTTCTGCTGTGAAGAGCCTGGTTATTCTCTCTACTGATGATCATGGTTAATTATGAGCCATTCTCCATGACGAGACGTCCAAGATCAAAGATGAAGCCCCCCGCTTGATGTTTTTCTGCCTCCGCTTCACCGACTACTTCTGACTCTATTGTTTCCTGACGAGAACGCAGACTTAACTTGATACATGACCTCGTTTTTGGGAAATGTCTCGAGGTTGCTTTGGGTGACCTGAGGAAATGACATCATCCCCCCTGGCTGGCTTGAGAGTGATGGGCCCCTTGGGACTGGGTGGGGTGAGGTGGCTGGTGATGTAGAGCTGGACCCCAAAAGCGTTTTGTTCTCCAAGATCGAGTGACATTCGTCACTTGGGTGCCAAGAAGTTACAGGGCAGCCATGCCATGTGTTCATGTCATACTAGAGTCAACTCCTGTTGACTTGTGTGCCCCTAAGAGATCAAGGCAATGGAAATGGAGGTTTCCGCGCATACCAGAGGAGTGGCCATGCTAGATTGAGATGAGAAGTGAGACTCCACCGCACCCTTGGTCTGTCTCATTCCTGTGTGATTCTTAATGTGGGGTCGTCTGGCAGATGGTACATATGCCTAGATTTCACAGATGTGTGCACTGAGGTCTTGAGATCTGGACTTGACCCTCTCTGCCTCTGCGTGGGAGCTGCTCGCCACTTGAGCAGCAGGGTCTGGGAGCCTTGCCGGGAGAACAGACATCAACAAGCCATCTCTCTATGAGTCAGTAAGGGATGGAGTTTGGATGGACTCTCTAGAACAGGTGAACCTCAGAAAAAAAGAAATCGATCAGTGGCTGCAGAAGTCAGCGATGGCTTAATAGACATGGATGTCCCTTAAGGACAGTGAAATATTTGAAGATGATATAGAGGCTGTGGTTGCACCCTGTGAACTTGCTAAATACCACCAAACTGATTCTCTTAATGCCATTGCTTTTTTGTTTTGGTGTGTGCATGGGGAAGCAGAGGTCGACCTCAGTGTCTTTCCTGAGGATCTGTCTACCTTTTTTTAAAAACTAGGACCTGGGGCTGCCTTGTGATGCTAGGCTGGCTGAAAAGTGAGTCCAAGAGATCCTCCTACCTCTGCCTTCTCAGTCCTGGGATTATACGCACACAGCATCACACCCTGGTTTGGGGTTTTGTTTTTGTTTTTGTTTTGTTTTTTGGGGGGGGTTATTTTGTTTTGTTTTCCCGGGACAGGGTTTCTCTGTGTGTAGCTTTGCACCTTTCCTGGAACTCACTCTGTAGCCCAGGCTGGCCTCGAACTCACAGAGAGTGCTGGGATTAAAGGTGTGTGCCACCACTGCCAGGCTTGCCCTGTTTTGTTTTGTTTTTTTAAATGTGGGTCCTAGGACTTTAACTCAGGTCCTCACGATTGAGAGGCAAGCGCTTTACTTACTGAGCTATCATTCCAGCCCTATATTTTTTTTAGTTGCTCACTTTAAATGGTTGCACAGATGTCACATGAAATTTATCAGAGCTTTTTAAAAGTCCCATGGCAAAGTAAGAACTGAACCATATCCACCTGTCTACAGGCCCCTGCTTGGAGCAATCACCTGTAATCGAGCAAGAAGAAGGTACCCTGGGGTCTGAGGGCCCCAGAGAGGTTGTGCACATGGGAGGCATTTGTCAAGGGTCTGACTATTTGCCATCAAAATCTCTGTAATCAGTCTGTGTATACCCCACGGAGCCTGCAAGGATCAGAGAATATTAATCTCAGCGTGTCTCCTGTGAACTGTTGGCTCATTTATCTTGGGGAACAGGTGTTCAGAAACATGACTATACTTAGAAGGTTCATTAAGATACATCTCAAATCTGCCCTGACATGAGCTTGAGGACTGAAGGGTGATGAGGACCCCAGATCTACCCACAGCCTTCCCACACACTGACCAACGGCAGCTGTGAAGTACATCTTGACCTCATCGGGGGTCAGCGCGCGTTCCCAGATGATGAACTCATCAAAAGCTTCGTTCTCATAACGCTTGGTCTGGTCCTGCTCAGACCCTATGACCAGGTTGACATGAGGCTCCCCGTAGGTGTGAGACACTTTCCCACTCGGGTCTGAGGTGCTCAGAGTCCCGTTGACGTAGACTTTTAGGCCCTCCTTGGATTTCCACGTGAACAGAACATGAGTCCAGTAAGGACCTGGAAGAGAGCGAAGATGCATCCTGAGCCCAGCAAATAAGTTCTACATGAGCTTCCTAAGCTCCTAACCACATCCCTCTTTCATGGGATGCTCTGTCACCCTTGGCTTTAGTGAATCCAACTATGGGTTATAACATAACCTGACTCCCCTAGTCCTTTGGAGCACATGACCTTTGCTCCCACCCCCAAATTCCAAAAGCAACTCGAGAAGACCCTTTATTATTTTAATACAAGAGTCATAAATTTAAACATCTGCAATCAAAGGTAATAAAAGACTTGTTTAAAAGGTGTGGTGGTGCATGCCTTTAATCCCAGGCAGTGGTGGTGCATGCCTTTAATCCCAGCACTAGGGAGGCAGAGGCAGGTGGATCTCTGTGAGTTCGAGACTAGCCTGGGCTATAGAGTGAGTTCCAGGAAAGTCTCCAAAGTTACACTGAGAAACTCTGTCTCAAAAAAACCAAAAATAAATAAAAATAAACAAACAAAAAAACAAAAATAAAAATAAAAAATAAAAAATAAACAAAGGCTAGATCCAAGCACCAACCAATGGGATCATAATCCTAGTTGAAAATCTCAACATGGTCAGGAACAAGATGAGGACAACCCTCTGTCACAGCTCCTAGCAGTCCCCACTATTACAGTCAGCAGGGAAAGAGGCACCCGGGTTACGAAGAACAGACTAAAATTATCTTTGTTATCAAGAATAAAAGCAAAGCCTGAAATGCCCATGTGATGTTCACATGATGGGTGGGTGAAAAGCTAAGAGATAAAGGTCGGCTGTCTTCCAACCTTATAGTAATGAACACGTGGCGTGTGTGTATAGGCACACACACCCACACAGTCATGAGCGCACACACACACACACACACACACACACACACACACATGACTGAGGAAAACTGTAAAACTGAGGAAAAAATGCAGTGTCTAGAGAGACAGCCCATGTTCATAGACAGGAAAACTCAGTGTTGTTAAGGTATCTATCCCAGTCTGTTCTTCAGTAGACACAATGCAATTCATACCAACCCAAATCCCAGCAGGGTGTCTTTTGAGGAGCCACCATTGGACTCTAAAGTCTACACAGAGAGACAAATACCAAGAAAAGTCACATATTAAAAGGAGAAAAACAGAGTTGGAGGACCGACATGGCCTCCTCCTTTTTTTTTTTTAAATGAAATTATTTTACTCATCTAAATTTATTATAAACTGCAGATACTAAAGACTTTGCTAAGTTTTGAAGGAAAGCTTCCACTGTTTGACGGGAAGCGTCTGCTAACTTGGCCTCCTTCTGAGACTAAAAATGGCCCGCCCAGCCATGGCCTGTGCGGTGCATCCAGCCACTTGCAGCTGAGAATAGCCATGAATGTGGAGCCATGCAAAATTGTAGACACTTAAAACGTTGTAAGAGTCCCTTTTGCAATTCAATAGCACAAGTCCGGAGCATGAACTCTGCAGGTAGTAATGTTGGTTGATGGTGCCCAGAGGTCACACATGCTTGGGTGAGTAAGCGAAGCCACGTGGTATTAGGGAGACAAACAGATCAAGAGGAACAGAACAGACAGCCCAAATATAGAGCAATACAGACACCATCTGATGATACCTGACAGGAACAAAGCCAAATTGGAATAAACAAAGCCACAGTGGAACTAATACAGTCTCTGCAATGGAGGATGCTGGGGAAACTGGATGCAAAAATAACAATGAATGAATAAATAAGGACCTCATCGCTATGCCCCCAAACTAATTCAAAGCGGGTGGTGGATGGAAACGCCAAACCCAGATCTGCACAGCTTCCAGAATATAAAAAGGGGACTCTAGAATGACCCTGGGCTTGATTCTGACTTTAAAAAAAAAAATGTTTGTTTTACTTTACGTATGTGGGTGTTGTTTTAGTCAGGGTTACTGTTGCTGTGGTGAAACACCATGACCAAAGCAACCTGGGGAGGAAAGGGTTTATTGGCTTACACTTTCACATCACAGGTCCTCATCAAAGGAAGTCGAGGCAGGAACTCCAATAAGGCAGGAACCTGAAGGCAGGAGTTGATGCAGACAGAGGCCATGGAGGATGCTGCTTATTGGCTTGCTCCTCATGGCTTGCTCAGCTTGCTTTCTTGTAGAACCTAGGACCACCAGCCCAGGCATGGCATAATGGGCTGGGCCCTCCCACATCAATCACTAATTAAGAAAATATCCTCCAGGCTTGCTTACAGCCAGATCTTATGGAGGCATTTTCTCCATTGAGGCCCCCTCCTCTCTGATTACTTTAGCTTGTGTCAAGTTGACATGAAACTAGCCAGTACAGGTGCCTTGTCTACATGTATGTCTGTGCACCACATACATGCAGTGCCCATGGAAGCCAGAGAGGCTGGGAAGGCAGAGCCAGGTAGATCTCTGTGAGTTCAAGGCCAGCCCGGGCTACAGATTGAGTTCCAGGAAAGGTGCAAAGCTACACCGAGAAACCCTGTCTCGAAAAACAAACAAACAAAAAGCAGGAAGCCAGAGAGGGTGTCAAAGTCCCTAGAACTGGACTTAGAGGCAGTCTTGAGCTACCATGTGGGTGCTAGAAATCGAACCCAGGTCCTCTGGAAGAGCAGCAAGTACTCTCCAGCCCTTTGATACTGCTTTTTATCATCAAAAGCATGATCCAGGATAGAAAACCCGAAAAGCTAGTTTCCATTAAAACTGAAAACTTCTGCTCTGTAAAAGAACTTGTTGATAGAAAGAACGAAAAGGCCAGTCACAGGCCGAGGAAAATGTCTGCAATGGACACTGTCACACAAAACATGCAAAGAACTCTGAAACTCACGGTAAGCAAGCAAATACCCCACTGAAAGAGAGGTAAAAGGTCAAAACTCAGACTCCTCCCCAACATACAGAGGGTATGACACCAGGAATGGACGCTGACATCTCTAAAAATAGGCACACATTCAAGCAGCTCATCCCTGAAGCACAGTGCTGGGATGGGGGGGTGCTTCTGGGGGGGGAAGCTGGTCATGTGCAGAAGTAGGGAGCCCCTGGGAGCCCTTTGGTCCTTGTGCTCAATTTCGCTATGAGTTTTAAATGCCGTGAAAAAAAAAAAATGGAGGCTGAGAACAGTAGTATGGTCACGCCAGACTAGTGTTCACGCACCTGGGCTGCGGAGCCAAGGAAGAGGGAGAAGAGAAACCTGGTTTCACTGAGGACAGGCCTCTGTGCTGACTGGGCTGGATAGGAAGGTGGCTCCTAGGAGGGTTCCTCCCCTTCCTCCTCCTGCCACTAAAAGATGGAGCCGGGGTTTCCATTCTCTTTTGTTTCCAAGGGAAGACGAAGGTCTCCATTCAGACATGAAATCAGAACTGCTGGTCATGCCTCATTCAAAACATCACTGAATGACTAAGCAGTCACCCGAGCAGGGGCCACCAAAACATCTAAGGGACTGTCCTAACATACCATACATGGCATTAACCAAAATGAGGTGACATGATGGCTATGGCCAGCCTCCGAGCTCCATCAGAAACCCCCTTAGGAAGCCTCCTGGTCCCTCCTCTTGTCGATGGGAAGACCAGCCCACAAAGGGTCTTGACTGTTCTGCGAGCCTTGCTATAAGACATCCTCCTGGGGTTGACAAAGAAGGAACAGGAGAGCCCCTCTAAAGGACACACAGTGCCCCTGCCCTCCAGTCACTGTGGACTGCCAGTGATTACGTCAGGGCTTCCTGCTGGGGATTATGTAACACTTTAGTAATTTTGACACTCTGAGGAACACTCGGATCCTAAGCAGGGCCAAAGCATCATTGCACTTGACTTTGAAAGTGAGAATAACAAAGTCCTCCAGTGAATAAATGAGGAGCAGATGACCGGGGGTTGTTTACAAGTCTCTCGGCATCCCTGGGTGGGAAAACAGCACGTGTTCAGTTTCAAAGAACCTGCTAGATGCCTGACTCTGTGCCACAGGCCCAAGGCCCATAGGGAATGAGCTGTTACCTAGGAAATCTTGACCGCCAGCGGTCCTCACTGAGAGCCATCTCAGAGGTTCAGAAGGAGCCTTGGGAAGTAGGAAGGCAAAAATGTTTCCGGCTTTGGAAAGCATCCAGAAATTCAGTGTCTTCCCTGGATGCTGCATTTCCCCCACCTTACAGAGAAGGAGTTACAAATTCAGCTTAAGCATGGCCAGCACCCAGAGGGCAAACCCAAGTCTCCCAGGATTCTGCAGCCCATTGTTCAAGGCTCCCCCGATCCATCAACTGTCTGTCTTCCTGGGAAAAAAAAAATAATAACTGCTACTCTTCAAATGTTACAAATGAAGAAATTGAAGCACCAAGTGATGGACTATGATACCAGGTCCATAAAGCTACGAGGCAGATTCAGGACCTGGCCCAGCGCTTAACAGTTAAGCCGTGCGCCTCCTTCAAATGGGCCAGAAACGGACCCTGAACTACTTCGGAGACATTGCTTGCTCCTAGGGCAGTGCTTCTCAACCTTCCTAACGCTGCGACCCTTTAATATAGTTCCTCACGTTGTGGTGACCCCCCCAACCATGTCCGTTGCTATTTCGTAACTGTCGTTTTGCTACTGTTATGAATCGTAATGTAAATATCTGATATGCGACCCCCAAAGGGTTGAGAACTGCTGTTTTAGAGGCTTACTATGGAGCACCCCCTCCCCCACCTCTGACCTGGCTGGTTTCTGTCCAGGTTCCCCCTGCATGTTACATGAAACTCCTGGTCACCTTCCTCCTCTGGTATCTTGGACTATCCTCAGTGACCCTGGTTTCAGCGTCCAGCCCGACTAATGAACTTGATACCACAGACCATTAGAACTTCTCTGCCTACTCTGAAACTCAGGCCCATGGTACCCCGGTCCCCTCCCACTGGTTCTAAAGGCACATCCTTAATGGAGACCACACGGTACCCCAACCTCTCCTCCTGCCTGACTGCCTGCTCCTTGATTGACAGCCTGTCTTCCCCAAAACTGTTTGTGCTTCTGGGAGTAGCTTCAAGGCCACCTCTCCAAATGGTGTGGGGACAGGGGGATTCAGCCACGGTCTGTCCATCTTCTCCTCACAGCTTCTACTTGGTCCCAGCTAATGACCGGGCACCTGCCATGTCACCTCCATTATGCAGAAAGCCACCTCCATTATGCAGAAAGCCAGCCTCACACAGCCACTGGGTAACAGCAATTACACAGTGAGCTTTGACCTTGGCATGAGGTCATCTTGTGACAGGTGCCCTTCTTGTTCTTCTGACACCTTCCCAAGCTGCTGGCAAGAAGAAATCCTGTGCCACAAAGACTCCTTTGGTGTCCCATCATCACTGAGGGGCACAGAGGCTCCAGTTGGTACCACACTCACCCGGAGGGTTGAAGGTGGCCTTCCAAGTCATGGAATTATCCCGCGTGTACAGCTCCACGGAGCCCTTTCCACCGCTAGAGCAGACTTTGAAACCGTCAGAGATGACCTGTCCCCCATAAGCGAAGGGGGCTGGTCGAGGCTGCTCCCCTTGAGTCTTCCAGAAAAATGAAAATGTCACTCCTGCAGAGAGAAACACATGTTCATCAGCCGGTGCTGCAGGAGCATGAAATGCCAGAGCAATATCTGGTTAAAGTCAAGTACATTCCCCAGGGTGTGACCTGAGCCACCATCCCCTTTCAAATAGTGAGAAGCCTTGCTCCCATTCCCAGTGCTCAGAAGAGGAAACTGAGGTCGGCGGGTTAGTGACTGACGGAGGTCGGGTACAGACCCATCCTGGCTGACTCTGAACATGCAAATGTGAACCCCTTCGACACAGCCTCCACCCCCACCTACTCACCCAGATCCTGACAATGACTTTACAAAGGAAAGAACCTGTTTCATTCATTCTGGTTACACACAACATCTTTTAAAAGATTTACTGCCTCCGGAACGTCCTCCCACATCCCTAAATACGCTTTTCCACTGCCGTTTTTTATGTCTGCTGGGCGTCACATCCTAAACAAACCCGTTTCTGAGTCATAGGATTTGCTTCAAAGTTTTGAAGGAACATTCCAAACAGAACTTGAAGCTAATTTTTTTTTGACATATCTCAAATTGTATGTGCTTCAGAGCACGTTCCCCAGGGGGTGTTCTTGTGAAGAGGGAAGCTGGTTTTTCAAGGTTCAGAATGCCTTGGCGGCTGACTGCCTGTGGGTGAAGGTGAGGCAGGCAGAGATAAGAACAGCTGCTGTGTTTTCCAAATGCCCAGTACGTGTAGGTGTGATAGCTCTAGTTTTAATCATCCATTTGACACAACCTAAAACCGCCTGGGGAAAGAGTCTCAGTAGAGGGTTATCTAGATCAGGTTGATCTGTGAGTGTGCCTGTGAGGGATTGTCTTGATTGCTTTAATTGGTGTGAGAAGAACCAGCCCACTGTGGGCAACACCATTCCCTAGGTTTGGGTCCTGGACCATATAAGAGTAGAGAAAGCTAGCTGAGAACACCACATGCATATATTCATTCTCTCTCTGCTCTTGACCACGGATGTGATGTGAGGAACAGATTTATAAGTTCCTTCTGCTTTGACTGGCCTACCGAGGTAAATTATAACCTGGAATTTTGAGCTAAAAGAAAAACAACTTTCTCCCCTATGTTGTTTTTGTCAGAGGAGTTTATCCTAATAAGTGTGGATCCCACCTCCTACGCTGGCATGAGGGTGGTACCCCACGTGGACTATGTGGTCTTTGCTACAAACATCATCATGAATGAGTCAGATCACAGGGGATGTGATCCCTTCACTCCCAGATGCAGAGAAAATATAGCTGACCAGCCAGGCTCTGGATGGCCAAGAGTGTCTGGCATGCACACAGGCAGGTCTGGGCCCACCTTCACTCAGGTCCATCAAGCACAGACCTGGTGGGAGGGCCCCAGGGGTTATAGACATCCCTGAGGTTATACTATAGCTTTCCTGCTTCTGGTAACCTGTTCCCACTTCCTTTAGCAGACATGTACACTATATGTGTGTGTTTGTATGTGCACGTGTATGTTAAGCTGGCCACCGACTGGACTCTATGTGAAAGATAGACATAAAATGATTGTCTGGCTCCTCCCACCTGGCCAGGGAGGTGACGGAGTGTCCATGACTCAAGCTGATCTCCCCACAGGGCTGATCATAATAGGCCACCATGGATCAGGGTACAAGGAGGAGTGGGGACATTTGCCCTAGCCTTATTAATATAAATGACACCAAATTCACTTTAGCTGTTATCAACAAATTGAGGTCATGTAGAGAGGTTTACCAGACCACTGCCTCTGACGTATGCATTGGTGTCTTCTTGCCAGCCATCTTTGCTGCAAGGCCTTATGGGTTGGTCTGTGAGAGTCTTTTGAAGGTCTCGTGACAGTGTTGCTGCCTCATGCCTTCTGGTTTCAAAGTCCCCATATGACTCACTCGAGCATGGGAGGTGTGGCACAAGTTTTCTATCCTTGGCTTGGAATTTCTCCCTTATGTTTCTTTTTCTACCCAAGAGGAATCTAAAGATTTTTGAATGCTCCCCAAAAATGATTAGTGACTGAAAAATGCTTGCGATGACATATTTTGAATTGCTCTACACAGGTTAGTCTTAAGCACATAGGTGTTGATGTGACATACAGTACCCATAAAACACATTATCACTCAGTGTGAATCCAAGATGAAAGTCAAGAGTCAGGAGATGGCTCAGTGGTGAAAGCATTTGTCAGACAACTGTGACTTCTGGAATATGGATCTCTATAAAGCCACATAAACGCACGGCCATGGCAGCCTGTCTGTAACTCTAGCCTCAGGAGACTGAAACAGAGAGTCCCCAGAGCAAGCTGACCAGCAAGACAAACCATATCCATGCGCTCTGGGTTTGATTGAGTGATCTTGCCTCTCAATAAATGAAGTGGGGAAGAGCAATTAAAGGAGATTCCTGACACCAACCTTGGACCTCCACATGCCTGCACACACACATACATGTAAACACCCATACATACATACACATGAAAAAAATGGAAAATAAATAAATAAAAGCCAGTCAAAGATGGTGGTGCAGGTCTGTATCTCAGCTACTTGGAAGGCTGAGGCAGGGGGGTCATAAGCTCAAGGCTAGCCTGGCCTACATAGTGAGTTCAAGACAATGCTAGACAACTTAGTGAGACCCTGTCTCCCAATAAAAAGTAAAAAAAGGGGGGACTGGAGAGATGACTCAGTGGTTAAGAGCACTGACTGCTCTTCCAGAGGACCCAAGTTTAATTCCCAGCACCCACGTGGCAGCTCACAACTGTCTGTAACTCCAGTTCCAGGGGACTCTGACACCCATGGCAAAACACTAAAGCACGTAAAATTTTTAAAAAATTTAAAAAGTAAAAGAAGAGCAGAAGATGTAGATCAGTGGTAGAGCACTTGCTTAGTTTGCTGGCCATGGGAATAGATAGATAGATAGATAGATAGATAGATAGATAGATAGATAGATAGATATAGATATATGAATATATGGATAGAATAGATAGATAGACAGACAGACAGACAGACAGATAGATAGATAGATAGATAGATAGATAGATAGATAGATAGAGGCTTTGGGCTACAATGTAGCCTTGGCTGTCCTGGAACTCACCATGTAGACAAAATTGAACTCAAATTCACAGAGATCCACCTGCCTCTGCCTCCCAAGTGCTGGAATTAAAGGTATGTGTCGCCATGCCTGGCTCAAAACTATGCTTTGTTGCTTTTTTAAGAACTTCCAAATACTAGGAAGGTCCCAGACCTCTCTGGGGCTCTGGGAGCTCTGGGTAGAATCCAGGTCTAAGAGGCATCCTTGGGTTGCTCAGGAAAGTGGTCCTGTAAGGTCTCCAACACTAGGATAGGGTGACGGTGAGAGGCTGGAGGATGCTGCCGAGGTCCAGGCCACTCTGGCTGTGGAGGAGGAGACTTAGATCTTTCTCTCCCATCCTTCCTCCATCAGGATCAGATGGCACCCTGCCCCACCTCGCCGCACTCAGAAACAGCCAGTTTCATATGGAAATGAACAAGGCACACTGTGGAAATTTTGTTGTGAAATGTATCTCCAGCAAGACTCCTGGAAGTCATTTCTCCCCACCCCCACCTCCCTCCAAAAAACATTGCTGCTTTAAAAAAAAAAAAATCCTTTCACTCAACTGAAAAACGCAAAACGATGCTGTCTCTGCCAAATGTGCCTCTGCCCAGGAAGAGAAATAAAAATAAAAAATTCAATAGAGTGTTAGGTAATAAGAATAAAAATTAAAAATTCAGTGTAGTACTGGACCGGGACAAGGAGAAAGTGGGTCGTGAACTCTGCCAGCGAAGCAGCTCGTTTTAGCTCAGTCAACCTGCAAAGTAATGACTCCCGTCTGCCAAAGCCTTCATTGAAATATCAGTCTGTGTCTCCACGGTCTGGAAAGATTCACAATGTGCCCACAGGAGCACCTGTCAAACGCTCAGATCATCAACCCAGAGAAGGAAGTCTGAAGGGGAAAATAGTAAGCCCAGCACAGCACATTGGTTCCATGGTTTGCTCTTGTTAGGATCAGTAAATCCTAATCTCTCCACAGCCCCTTGTCAGGGATGTACTGAGTTAGACAGACGCATCAGTGAGGCGTCCAAACCAGCTGCGCCTGCTCAGTAAACGCACTATGAGTGCTGCCTTGTGCTGAACATGGTAAAGGCCTCAGAGAACCAGGGGGTGGTCCAGACAGAGTCCCCCACAGTGCCAGAGAGTAGGAAGGAGATGTGACAGTATCCCACCATGAATAACCACAGCTTGAGCTGCCACACGGGGACAGAAGGTCTAACGTAGAGGCACATGCCAAGCAAAGGGAGTGTGGAGCAGAGCCCAAGGTCTGCAGGTAGCTCCCCAGATCCCCAGAGAGGCCCTTCCTACTCTCGGCTTCCCGCATGGGTACCCTGTGAAGTGAAGGAGACGTAAACTGAAGGAACACAGACAGCCGGCTCCCTGAGGCTGATGCTCTGGGTTGCATGTGCGTCTCCGTTGGTAGAATGCTGGCCTAGCATGAAGGCCAGCAAACACATGCATGAAGCGCCGAGTTGGATCTCCAGAACATAAAACCATGTGCGAGGTGCGTTCCTCCAATTCTTGTCTTGAAAGAAAGGGAAATGGAGAGAGAGAGAGAGACAGAGAGAGACAGAGAGACAGAGACAGAGACAGAGAGAGACAGAAAGAGATAGAGACAGAGAGAGAGGGAGAGGGAGAGAGAGAGAGAGAGAGAATAGCCTAGTGTGTCTTGATGGCCGTTTGAACTGGGAACCAGCTACAGGTTAACAAACACCAAGACTTTGACACTTTGACCTGAAAATTGCTCCACAGTTTCTCATAAAGCTAAAAATAAGACTACCCTGTGACCTCGTTATACCACCTCTGGGCGTATATACTCACAGGACTCCACATCCTACCACAGAGACATGGCTTGTCTATACACAATAGCCAGAAAATGGAACCATCCTAGATGTCCATCAATGGCTGAGCGGATAATACAAAGGTCGGTACTTTTATTACACAACTGAATTTCATTCAGCTGTTTAAAAAAAAAAAGAAATCATGAAATTTGCATGAGAATGGGTGGAAGCAGAAAACATCACAGTAAGTGAGGTCACCCCGGTATAGAAAGACATAATGCCTCACATCCTTTCTCATATGCAGATCCTGGCTTTGAATTTCCAGATTTGTGTGTTTAATTTTGAATGTCTGTAGAGGAGCCAGAGAGGACCCATGGGAAGGGGAGGGGAAGAGGCCTGAAGGTATGAGGGGACAGTTGAACATATGGGCTGTGAAAGCAGAGGTGGGGGATGCTGGGAATTAAAGGGTTAACAGGAACGGGGGAGGGGGGCAGGGGGATGAGATTGGGGGTGAGTTAACCAAGACTGAAGATATGTAAAAAATACTTGTGGAAAGTCACTACTTTGTTAGCTACTTAAAATACATAATTTTAAAGAGGAATTTGAACAAAAGTGCCCTGCATAGGTCAACAATGAGGCTCTCAGAAAATATGAGTTCTTTTCTTTCTTTCTTTCTTTTTTTTTATTTGGTTTTTCAAGACAGGGTTTCTCTCTGTAGCTTTGGAGCCTGTCCTGGGACTCGCTCTGTAGACCAGGCTGGCCTCGAACTCATGGAGATCCACTTGCCTCTGCCTCCTGAGTGCTGGGATTAAAGGCGTGCGCCACCACTGCCCGGCCCAAGATATGAATTCTTAAATGAAAATGTCAGTGCCAGACATGGACACCTTCCCTACAAGTTATATATTGGTCAGAGTGGCCCCAGAGACCCCTGAAGCAACCTAGACTCTTACCATTGCTTTTGGTTCCCTACCATCACTAGATGGTAAGGCCCATATTGCTAAAGACACCACGTACTTTGGTTGCAGGACGGAGAGAAATCCAGCTAGGACTGACCTGAAAACGTCTTTGCTGGCTAGCTTTCACAGTGCTGGAAGGTGTTATGCGGGCCACTGGGAACAAAACGTAATCATTGATCTTATTCACTGCTAGACCCTGCATGATAAAATACTGGTCTGCCAGGTAAGATGTACTCACTGGCACAGTAGCGGCATGACAGGTAGGAGGTAACCAACCAGCTTCTAATCAGATCTGGTGCCCACACCGAGGAAGGAATTCATGCCTTGGCACTGTAAACTTGGTCAACAGCGTGTGGTCGAGGAAGTCATAGACTTCGGTGGGAAACCTACTACTGTTGCTTTGATAGATGGACACGTGATCAAGCTGCCTTCCAAATATTTTTCTTTACACCCATGGATCGTTGCTCCTGTCCACCTTGGTCAGGGGAGCTTCTTCTGTTCAAAGTGCTGTGACTACGTGACTACTGAGTGCTCATCTCTAAACGGGACATCTGTATCAACCCTTCTAGGACATGGGGACCATCCCAGAAGAGGAGACAGGAAGGATGTAAGAGCTGGAGAGTGGGAGGAATGCTGGGAAATGTTGTCTTCTGGACATGACGCGGCCGTTGTCTTCACAAGCTCATGGCGGCTGTGGTCACTTATACAACGTCAAGTCAGTCAGCATTCCAACACAAACTGAGGAGGGGCTCGTGAGGTCCCACTCCTCGCTCTGACTACTGGGGGAGGAGTCAGTTTTCTTCCGGGCTGTGGCCGCTGGCAGGTTGCCCATGCTCTGGTGGATGGCCCCACACCCGTGCCCTTGCAGACAGCACTAATTGGGTGAATAGGTTGTGGAAACGAAGAGGAAAAGGGCATGAAGCTGGCTTGGGGGGCAGAGGATGATGTCCCCCAAAGGATTCGAATGCAGTCCAGACTCCAAGGAGAGAGGAGAGGTCTGCCTTCTCTTTGACACACCTGTCATGAGTTCCAGCCACAGGTCACGGGCTGGAACGGGTCCAGCCACCATCCAGCCACCCTCAATGAACACATAAGAAGTGAACCCGGTTTGAGGGTTAACAGGCACACCCTGCTCTGCCAGGCCTGACCTGTCATCAACATCCCAGATCCAGAAATAACGCCATGAGAGCCACACCATCAATTTCCTTCCCACAAGTGCCGGGCCCCATCCCAGCCCGAGTGACATCTATCTCAGCGGCTGTGTTTTAAAGTGGGATGTCCCCCGTTCCTCTACAAGGTTCGATATTTTGATCTCCTGGCTCTGTAGGGCCATGTCCTGACTTTCTGTCTCCAGGACAGGGGACTGCATTCAGGTGGCTGCAGCCTTTCCCTCTTCCCCCTTCCCTCTCCTCAACTTGCATCTGACACTTTTCACACACATTGCAGTTGATAAGAATCCTGTTCTCTTAGGACGGGGACATGATAAAGCAGGGAATGATGCTCACTGTGTAAGTATAAGGACCTGAGGTCAGATGTCTAGAGCCCACATAAAAAAAAAAAAAAAAAAAAAAAAAAGAAGCCAGGCATGGTAAGTTTCACCTATAACCCCAATGCTATGGTGGGGATTTCAAGAAGATTGCTAGAGCTGAGAGCCCAGCTCCAGGGCCAATGAGAGACTCCATCTCAGAGGAATGAGGCACAGAGTGATAGAAGAGGACACCCAGTGACCGTCTCTGGAGCATGGGTACATTTACTGAGGACACACACACACACACACACACACACACACACACATACATGCACGCGCGCACGCGTGCCCATGCACATATACGCACTCTGTACTCACTCTGTTCACATGTGCCACTAGCAGGGTAGCGTACATCTCAGCCCCAACTCACCCTCAGGTCCACACTGGGCCGGGTTGCTGATGCAGGATGACTTGAAGCTGCCATAGTAGAGGAATGTCACACCCTTCTCCTCCTTGAGGTAAATACCTTTGTTGACCTTCCCTTCCATGATATCTAAGAAAGGAAACGGACATGTCAGTCACCCAGTTGCCGCCAGGAGAGTAAACACACATGTCAGACTTATACAAGCAGCTTACAAATGAGTTCGCAGGGCTATCTTCCTTCATAATGCATGCCTAATGTCACACATTATTCCCTGATAGTAATCGCATCCACTAGTACTTAATTATTGATAGTGAGAGTGTGAATGATTCATAAGTTTAAGTGTTAGGGAATAAATTATTACCCTCCTATTAATGACAGGTCAGCATAACCTATATTTTAATGCAACAATATTGTAACTGACGTATTTGTCAACTGTTGAACCCTAAACACCACTCACACCCCTGCTATGAGGGTCCTTCCCACTCTGCCTCACGCTGAGCTTTCCGGATGGAGAACTCTCATTATTTAAGTGTGAGGCCACAGCTGCAGATCAGCCTTGCTGGCTACTGACTAAAGCATGCTGGTCCTCTCTGTGTATGCAACCTCAGCTTTAGAGCCACGTCTAGACCCAGGAGGAACCACAGCCCCATTTGGAAAAGTCCCTGAAGGGCCTGCCAACAGCGATCTCGGAGAGCCACAAACCCCTGTCTCCACCACAGCTCATTCTGCGATCTTGTGTTGTCATGTGCCTGGCTGGTGTGTCCCACGGCGGAAGCAAGGTGGTTGCTTTATAGACAGATAAGTGTAGACTCTAGAAACGATTGGTGATGGCCTCTCGCTATGCATCAGAATGAGCATTACCCAGAGACTGCCACAACCTGTGTAGGAACAAGGAGGTTGATAGTGTATGTCCTTCTGGCTACTGGCCAAGTGTGCATTCAAGATCTGGACACTCCGCTCACACGTATAACTGGCTGGGTGCAACACTCCCTGTCACGTGGACCTCCACGCAAGGGCTCCGGTGTTTAAACCCTCTGGTTCTACTAATCCATTGGTTGCCATGGGAGGGCTATATCTTACTTCACTGAATGGATAACTACCCACCAGATAACTGAGCCAGACTGCTCAGGCCCAAGAACCAGACTGCTTGCTTAGTAAAATCATTTAGAGATGTTAAACAGCCCACAGTGGAGAGAGAAGTTGGATGATGTGCTAAGAGAGAGAGAGGCGTACACAATCTGAACAGGCTTTCTATGCCCATCACTGCTGTCCCTTCAGCTCCGAGCTCAAGGGAATCACAGGCTCTGGGTTAACTGGCAATCATCTTACTTGAGTGGGCGTGTCTTCTAAAATGGCTCCTAAAGAGTTTGCAGAATGCAGCTGCAGAAATGCTGATGGGATGTTTGTGAGACTAGATTTTTTTTTTTTTTTTGGCCTGAGTTTTAAAATCAACTTGCAGTGTCTGTGAACTGGGCAGGGTTAGCCTCTCCCAGCCCCACCCCACAAAGAATACAATGTATTCAAAACTCCAGTTTCTTCCAAGCATGGTGGTGGTGTACAGCTGGAATCCTAGCACTCGGGAGGCAGGAGGAGCAGGAGTTCAATCTTGGCTACACAGAGAATTTGAGGCCAGCCTGAGCTACATATACCTTGTCTCTAAAAAACGGGGAGGGGGAATCCATTTTCAGTGTTTCGGAAAGGTCTGGGACCTGCTTGTTTTTGTTTCTGAGATCAAATGACTGACTCAAAAGAGTCTGGCGTTGTAGAAGAGCCTCCACCCCTTCCAGACATGCCTGTCAGGGAGGCTTCCTAAGCCAGAAGCCTGTGTGGCTTTTCCCAACACCCTGGCTCTCTCTCTTGACGTCCATCACTTGCACCTGGGCACCCACTCTTTTACCAGCCGAGTGAGTCCTACAGAACCAGATTAGACCGGTCCTTAACTTCCCTGGGCTCCAAACGTGACGGGACCAAGCAGCCAGTGCTCACCTACAGCCGCAGAGAAGTTGGAGTAAGCGGAGTCATTGGTAAAGACAAAGGTAGCATTGTGGGAGGGAGGCACAGTGAGGTTGTGGGTTCGCAACGCTGGGTGGGACGACAAAAGAGAAGACACCACATGAGTGACGTGAGACACAAATGGGAACAGCACATCTCTCACCCCAGCACACAGGGGAAGGGCTCCTCCTCCCCACGTCCGCCTCCACCCCCACCCGCAGGTTTCTTCAGCAGACTCCAACACCGCCGATGGCCCCCTGAGTTGGGTCCCTGCTGGCCTTGGCCACAATCGAGCAGATAACGGTCTCAATTTGCTGGCTCCCGCTCCCACCCGGATGCGTAGCTGAGAGATGTAGAGTTGAACTCAGCCATTCGTGAAGCAGTGGTAACAACACGGGGGAAGGGGTGTGATGTGAAGGACCAATGAGAGACAAACACTGTGGAAAAACAGCTGCGTGAGATGGCCGCGGACGAGACAACAGAGGGTCCGGCCACAGACAAAGGGCTGCACGTCCAGGAGGTAGCATCCAGAGCCGTTCCCGCCATCCCCAGCCTTGGTTGATCCCAGCTTGTCTCTCCATCCTGGGGAACCTGCTCTCGTGATGACACACGCCTGTTCCCCTGTTCCGCAGCAGAGACGGCCGAGGAGGCTCCAACAGGAAGCCACAGTGCCAGCACCGCATTGCACAGTGTGGGGACAGGCACGGCGGCACTGAGGAGTTCCTGCTGTGTGTCTGGGTGATTGTGGGACTTCGGAACACCGAGGCTACTGACTTAATCAGCAGCAGTGAGCTAAGCTGGGGAGACGGGGTAAAAATGCCTAGGATGGGAGCTCTGGGGTCCCGAACAATGCTCTTCCACTAATCCAGGTGATCGCCTCTCAGGGGTTTCAAAATAAAGACTTCCAGAGAAGAAATTTAGATCATGACGAAGGCCGATGGTCTGTTTTCCCCTGATCCAACACACCAGCTAGCACAGGGTGCTGTCGCCCTTCTTACTACAGCAGAGTGGAAAAAAATTCTTGGCTGCCATACAGTCCGCAGGGGCCACCAGCATCCTACCACATGGGAGAGCCCACAAAGGATGGAGGATACAGCATAGTCAGGCTGAGCCCTTCACGGAGGCCACGCCCACCACTAGCTGGAGCTTCTAGACTTGGAAGATTTTTGTTTTAGTTTACTTTAAATTTTAAAAAACATTATTTATTTTATTTTGGTTTTTAAAATACACATGTATCTGTTGTATATGCACGTGCGCGCGCGCACCCACCCACCCACCCACACACACACACACACACACACACACATGCTTGCATGACACAGCATGTGTGCACAGGTCAGAGGACAACTTGAGGAGAATGTATTTTCCCCGTTCTACCGTGTGGGTCCTGGAGACTGAACTCAGATTGTGAGTCTTGAGAGCAAGTGCCTTTATCTACTAAACCATATTGCCAACTCTTTTTCTGTTTTAGAGAATGGGGCTTGTGTATACCATGAGGCATAAGTTGAGGTAAGAGGATAATCTTCTGGATTCACTTCTTCTATCATGGAAATCCCGGGAATCGAACTCAAGTCGAGATGCTTGGCAGCAAGAGCCTTTACTCCCTAAAGCTCCTGGATTCCAAAGTTTTAGGGAGACATTTTAGAACCTTCTGCGACAGTTTCCCACTGTGCTTGAGTCGTATCAAAGAGGAAGACTCCAAGGGTGGGCAACATGTTCACCAGCAGTATTCTGAATACATTGCACTCGAACTTGTGTATATACAGAACAAGGACATAAGAGTGTGTGTGTGTGTGTGTGTGTGTGTGTGTGTGTGTGTGTGTGTCCGCATTTGACGTTCATAAGAGCAGCAAGCATATAAAAATAAAGTGGAAGACCTTCAAAATTAACTCCGAATCAATACTTTTGAAAAAAGGAGTTCTTGTTGGAATGGACATGCTCACAACTGTCCTGAGTTTCTCCAATATTATGGTCTGAGTTCAGTGAGACAGAGCCCCTGACACCTCCTGTGGAGTTAACACCAGGAAGAACATCTTAGGGGATGTTGGCTGGTGTTTGGCTAAGTGCTTGGTAGACAGGGGACACCTTGCTTCGGGAAACAGTGACCTTAAGACAGGACAGTCTGACACAGTTCATCATAATCTACATATCAGCTTGTTGTGGCAACTCAGCTCTGTCCACCCGCAAACATCTACCCAGACTCTCACCAGAGCAGAAGGTTGTACACTGATGAAGGTTTAGGAAACCCTGCCCTTCTATCGTAACAATGTATAGATAGATGTTCTCATAAAACACTTTGCAGTAACCATCAGTGAACTAGAGCGATCGCTCTTCTCTGTTGCTCCAGCTCCAACGCGTCCTGGGGCATCTAGAGTCTTTCCCTCTCTCTAGAGTCTTTCCCTCTCTCCAGATGCCCCAGCCCCTGGGAGGCGCTATCCCCACACTGCAGGTATTCTCACCTCCCTAAGTCCCTGGGAGGCGCTATCCCCACACTGCAAGCATTCTCGCCTCCCTAAGCCCCTGGGAGGCGCTATCCCCACACTACAAGCATTCTCATCTCCCTAAGCCCCTGGGAGGCGCTATCCCCACACTACAAGCATTCTCATCTCCCTAAGCCCCTGGGAGGCGCTATCCCCACACTGCAGGTATTCTCACCTCCCTAAGCCCCTGGGAGGCGCTATCCCCACACTGCAGGTATTCTCACCTCCCTAAGCCCCTGGGAGGCGCTATCCCCACACTGCAGGCATGCTCACCACCCTTGTCTACCTCCAGTTGTGTCCTGAAGTTCAAGGATCCCATCCACATTTTCCAAGGGCCAGTAATGAGAAGCAGAAGCCAGGACCGCAAACCCTGCAGAGAAAGGACCAAAAAGTTTACATCACAATTAGGGAGGAAGGAACTGGAGATAAGAGCTGTGACCCGAGCACTCGAAGATTGAAAAAGAGTGAGATTGTCGTGATGACCACGGACCTGGCTGAAAAGGTATTAAGAAAATTCAATACACGCTCCTGGTTAAACAGAAACCACCACTTTAAATTGGAAATCAATGGCTAGTTTCTTAATTGGACTGAGCAGGACAAATAGGGAGGGACATCTCCTAACTCAGGGAAACAAAAGCCCCGTGCATGTCGGTACAGGGCTAGGAGCTGCCCGTTAGTGTGGGGAAAAGGCAGAAATGCCCATTATTGTGCTGTTACTTGGAGTGGCTTTAGAGGCAACGTCTGATATAATTGGACCACAGAATAAAACAAGGTTTAAAATTACTTCACAGGGAGAAGATGCCGGGCATGAGAGAGGCCCCTGACAAACACTCCCCTGTGTCCTTTAACAGTAACCCGCAAGATCGCACATCCTCCCCCTATTTGTAAAGAGAAGTGAAAGTCCAGCTGGAGGGCTGGGAAGATGGCTCAGCTGACAAACTGATTGCCACACAGGCGTCAAGTACCAGAGTTCTATTCCCCCAACCCCACATGAAACCAGGTGGGGTGATAAGTGCCAGGGAGGCAGAGACACGGGGATCCTGGGAGCTCACAGGCCAGCCAGATTAGCTAGAACATGAGTTCGGGTTCAGTGAGAATTTTTGAGACCCTGTAGACATGCATGTGCGCGTGTGCATGCGCATGCGCGCGCGCGCACACACACACACACACACACACACACACACACACACCCCAAAACATAAAAATAAATAAAAATAGCTATAGCCAAAAATAAATAAGAGGACCTGGAGAGGGCATGGTGGGGGAGTACTAGAGGTGATAAGGACATCAGAGGTCTTGAGGGGAGCTAGGGACTAGCATGGAGGATGCAGTGAGAGGACGTTGTGTACCACACATGTAGACAGATGTTCAGTGGGAGGAGAGGCCACGGGTGCCTCTACTACATAGAGACAGTTGGCTTGTGATAAAAGTGGCATTTTAAACCAAAGATCTACTCACCACAGACACTGAAGTCAGTTAGGCATCTGGGGGAAAAAAAAGATCTTAACTCATTAATACTTCTGATGGATCAAAATGTGAGTGTGCTGTAAAAACTGAGCTAGAGGCTGGGGTGGGGTGGTACGTGGCTTTAATCTCAGTTTGGGAGGCAGAGGCAAGGGGATCTCTGTGTTTGAGGCCAGCCTGAGCTACATAGTGAGATCCAATCTAAAAAAGAAAAAGGTGAGCCAGGTACGGTGACCTGTGCCTTGTGGCTGCATGAAATTAGGGTTTAGAGGACTCTCTCTGCCCTTCAATTATAACATTTTGAAGTAGCCATCCATGAACTACCCAGCGCTCCCTCATCTCCATCACCCCAACTCCAACACACCCTTCCCTCCCTCTTGGGAGGTGGAAGGGCTAGAAGTTCAAAGCCAGCCTCCATGACATAGTGAGTTCTAGGTCAATCTGAGCTGCATGAGACCCTGATTCGAATAAATACATAAATAAATAGAAGCTTTCGGAGGTTTTACATTTGGCCAATTTTGAAAATTCCTATATAGGAAATAAACTGAATCAAACTTGGAAACTACATTCTCAAAGTGTATATGGCAGAAACACGTTGATTTCTTTTTAAGAGGTAGTCAATTTACTTTCTGTATTATTAAAATTCCTGTGGGCCAGGAATATGGTTTAGTGGTAGAGTGTTCACGTAATATGTGTGAGGACCTGGGTTCAATCCTCAGACAGCAGAGAAAGGAAGGAAAGAGAGGAGGAGGGAGGGAAGGAAAGAAAAAAGGAAGAAAGGAAGGAAGGAAGGAAGGAAGGAAGGAAGGAAGGAAGGAGAAAGAGAGAAAACCTATTAATGAGAAGGAAATCAACAGAAAGCTTAGGCACAGTAACACAGTTGAAGGAAAAAGAAACGCAAACTGTTTTTTTAACTATTTTTAAAACAGCTCACCCTCCCAACTTTGCTCAGTGCATCCCAGGATCGTAAAGACTACAGAGGACAGTCAGCCACACACTTCTCCGGTTGGAATGGCCACCGAGAGGCCAGAAGTGTGGAGCTGGTCAGTTCTGACAGAGGTTCAGAGTGAGTCAGCATCGGTTTGGCCTTTCCAGAGAGACAATTTGGCTAAGTCTCTGCAGAGGTTAAAGACACGTTCTCTCTGGTGAAGTAACTCTATTCCTAGGAATTTATACTCCAGAGGCTCTAAAACGTATGATCAAAGACCTGTATACAAAAGTATTTGTTGTGGAATGTTCCCACAGGATCAAACACCAGAGAGCGGCCTGGATGCTCATCTGGGGAAAGCTGACTAAATAATCAGCATGTATGTATGTGAAGGGAGCTGGTGAGCAGCCAAAGGGATGATGGAGAATGGCGTGCATCGGTTGACATGGAGTGGTGTTTAAAAGAGCTGGGTCCACAGCTTGCTGGTAGAATGCTTGTCTAGCATGTGAAAAACCTGAGGCTCCATGCCCAGCACACACACACACACACACACACACACACACACACACACACACACACACCACACACACATTCTCTCTCTCTCTCTCTCTCTCTCTCTCTCTCTCTCTCTCTCTCTCTCTCTCTCTCTCTCTCAACAATTTTTACCACATTGTAGCTAGACAGGGGTAGGAATCTCTGCTGTTCTGCTTCACAGGGGATTGACTCCAGAGAGCAGCCATGTCCCACGAATCTCAAAAGCTAGCAGAGAGAGTCAGTTAAATTCCCAGGAAGCTGAGGCAGGAGGATCAGGGATTTGAGGCCAGCCTGGGCCACAGAGCAAAACCTTGTCTCAGAAAGACAAAAAAAAAAAAAAAAAAAAAAAAAAGGAAAAAAGCTGAAAGAAAGTTTGGGTATCTTTACCATGAAGAATGATAAACGTCTGTGGCGATGGAAGTCTACCCTGATCTCACAGTGTGTGTCCACACCAAGAGAAGACATGGTGTACCACGGACATGGCAGGTTCCGTGTTTTTAGGAACCAATACAAAATAAGGCGGGTCAGTGAGATGGCTCAGTAAGTGTGTGCCACCAAGTCTGCCAGCCTGAGTTCAATTGCCAGATCCACAGGGTGGAAGGAGAGGACCAACTCCTTCAAGTTGCCCTCTGACCTCCACATACACACTGTGGCATGCTACACACACACACACACACACACACACACACACACACACACACACACACACACACAGAAATAGGTAAATGTAAAAGAAAAGCTACTGATTAAAAATAATAAATAATAAAAAATAATTCAGCCAAGCATAGTAGTACAGATCTTCAATCCCAGCACTAAGGAAGGTGAGGCAGGGGGATAGTGAATTCCAGGTCAGTCTAGTCTACAGAGTAAGAATCAGTCTCAAAAAAAATTAAAATAAGCCAGGCGGTGGGGGCCGCACACCTTTAATCTCAGCACTCCAGAGGCAGAGGCAGGCGGATCTCAGTGAGTTCGAGGCCAGCCTGGTCTACAGAGTGAGATCCAGGACAGTCAGGGCTACACAGAGAAACCCTGTCTTAAAAAAACAATAAATAAATAAATAAATAAATAAATAAATAAATAAATGTGAGATAGCCAGGCATTATGGCATACAACCTTCAATTCCAGCACTCAGGAGGCAGAGGCAGGTGGATCTCTGTGAGTTTGAGACCAGCCTGGTCTACAGAGTGAGTTCCAGGACAGCCAGGGCTATGTAGAGAGACCCTGTCTCCAAAAAAAGAAAAACGAAAAGAAAAGAAAAAAAGAAGAAAGAAAAAATGAGAAGAAAGAGTCACAACACTGAGACCTCCTGTTCTCCAAGCCTCTGACCTAGCTTCCTTGTCAAAACACTGTTAAATCCCACCTTCAAAATCACAGTGGCCTTGGGCATCATCTTGGGGCAGCATTAACATCATAATCCTAGATGACAGGTAGGTAGTCACCTTGATGGGTACCAAATACCCCATCTCTTGAAGTTCAGATTGCTGGCTCCATTTGCCAGTTGGTGTCTTGATTACTTTACACCTGTTGTGATAAAATGCCCTGCCACAAGCAACTCCAGGAAGGTTTTCTTTAGGCTCCCAGTTTGAGGCCGCAGTTCATCACGGTAGAAAATGAGCAGCTCGTCACATTTTGTCCACAGTCAGAAAGAAAAAAAAAAAAAATGGATGCTGGGGCCCAGCTCACTTTGTCCTAAGTGTAGCATCCTTATCCACAGGATGGTGCTGCCTGTGTTTAGAGGGAGTGTTCCCGTTAGCTCTATCAACTTGATACAGCCTAGAGTCCTCTGAGAGAACAGCCTCAATGGATGAATTGTCTAGATCAAATTGGGCGTGCCTGGGGGTGGTTATCTTAATTACTAATTGATAAGGGAGGGCCCAGCTCACTGTGGGCAGCACCATTCACTAGGCTGTGTAAGAAAGCTAACTGAGCCGGGCGGTGGTGGCGCACGCCTTTAATCCCAGCACGCGGGAGGCAGAGCCAGGCGGATCTCTGCGAGTTCGAGGCCAGCCTGGTCTACAGAGCGAGATCCAGGAAAGGCGCAAAGCTACACAGAGAAACCCTGTCTCGAAAAACCAGGAAAAAAAAAAAAAAGCTAACTGAGCTTGAGTCAAAGAACAAGCCGGTAACCAGTGTCCTCCTCCATGGTTTCCGCTTGAGTTCCTACCCTGACTTCCCTCAGTGATAGACTGTGACCTGGGAGTGTGAGCCAGATAAACCCTTCCCTCCCCCTTACCGTTGCTTTTGGTCAAAGTGTTTTATCACAGCCACGGCAATCAGACGACAATAGTGAGTTTTTCCACCTCAATCAACCTAATCTAGAGAATTCCCCATATGCATGCCCAGAGCTTTGCCTCCCAGATGATTCTGAATCCTGTCGAATTGGAGATACTAACCTTCCCGGTTTTCTCCTGGCCCTTCCGTGTTCCCACACAACTCCCAAATGC